GAAGTCCTGCTCAGTAACCAGCACACCTTTCGTCGTGGAAGCGCCACACCTCGCTCCATTGGTAGCCAAGTAACTACTTCGTGTGGTGCGTATGCTTCCCCGACATGTTCTCTCTCTATCGTAACCGCTGCCTTTAAGGATTCTAATCGAATAAAAGACAAATATCTCAAGGCAGCTGCTTCGGAGAGGAAAAAGATTGCACGAGAACAGTTCAGCCAAGATTTTTGACCGCTTCTGTAAATAATGTGAAAGGCACGTTCCACGTACTTTTTGCTCTAGTGGAAATCGGGCGGTCTGAACAAGCCGGCTCTTTTTAATGCAATTCTATGAAAAAGTGCAGTTACAGGTTTTGAGGATTTCATTATATATTTATGAGATTTCTGGGTATTTTAATGATAAAAATATTTTTAGAATTTTTCATATTTTCAGTCAAGTGAGCACAATCGCAGCGAAAAGCATGCTTTGTGAGCGGCGTTATGTCCAAAATTGCTTCCAAGTCACTAATTTCTTAATTCCTTCCCAGCTTTCTGCTCTCATGTATTATTGCTAGCGATGCTCTCTTGTTGTTGAACGAACCGTTCCGACTACTTTCTCAGGCTCCATTACACATTGAAGACGATTTCGGAGCCGTTTTCTCAGCACACTACGCGATTGACCGTGGGAAAACTATTATGGCACTTATCGAGGCCATCTGTTGTGGACGACGTCCACATCAGATGCCGTTACAGTTTCTGGGCGGGTCCAAAATTTGTTTACCTAGTTAAATGTAGACCTATGAATCGGTCTCAATCGGACTTGGCCGCTATCGCAAGATGCGGGGGCATTAAGCCCGTACAACATCTCCTTTGTGCTAATCAAGACTAAGCCATAGGCGACGGAGGTACGATTCCATGGTGCGTGAGCAGTTTTCGGCTTCCCTGGAGATCCTGCCTCCCGTAGGCCTAGTCCCAGAGGATGCCCACGTATTTTGCGATAGCGCCCTTACTTGTTCTGTTCTTTCCATCTCACTCATCTGAATAAAAGTGGATATATCAGTTAGACTTATTGGATCGCTTGAAAGTGTAAAAGTGTAAAAATCCGTTGTTGATTGCTTTTTGGGATGCGCCGTGCATTTTACTACCATACAAGGTCATACTGTTATTTTGAAGGGGATTTTACCTATACAATGACTTGAACAGGTCTATGATTAACAAGGATAAAGCATTTGCCGTTGATCAATCCCTTTTTGGGATGCGGCACGCATTCTACTTCCATTTGTACATTCGTAGTGGCATTTGAATGCGATGTGGCCTATACAATGACTTGCGGGGGCCAGCCGATGTTCAAGTCAGTGTTTTTATCCTCCCAGACAAGCCAGAAATCAATTAACCGACCCCCGTCGAGCACGAGCCAGGGTGTCCGATCCTGGGACCGGTGCGCACACGTGTAATCTAAGCGTTCACTTGCTCCTACATCACTGCCGCCCCTTCTGTTCAGATCTAATAAAGGGAAACTATAACCTCGAAAGCGAATGCAAAGGGTCAGGCTTGGTCCACACAGACGCTTCACCAGACTGAAACGAACTTCCACGTTTCCGGTATAGCCATTTCTTGCCCCTCATGGATGGGGCATTTTGAATGCAGCTGTGTTTCGTCGAAAAAGAAGTGTCTTACTTCTTCTGGCTGTATTCCGAAGTTCTTGCAAAGATTCTCGTTTCTCGTCTTTCCAGACATTTTTTATATGAGAAATGTCAAATTGATTGATCGATGCCAACAGTCCACATTTCTTCAAAAGGGCGGCCTTTTTTCGCCTTTTTTTTCCAAGCAGTAAAAAGCGCACAATACCCTCGTAGGCAGTGTTCCGTAACTACAAAATAGCCTTACACATGGTCATGCCTATCGTTTGCAGGATGCCATCTGCACCAATCTTGGCTACACTTTGGCTATGCCGGCTACTTATTACCTTTTGTTAGAAGGCAGTAATCAATACAAAAACTCACTTCAAACCTGTTTGTATTTTCTTCTACCATTTCAAACATGGAATTTCTGTTTTCTCTCATAAGGAACATTTTTCGAATCACTTAAGAGCCAATTTAAAGGATGTGGAGCTCAGTTGCAGCGATGCCATCACCCGAACCTCGCAACTCTCCAGGGTCTATTCCCAGCTAATAGGCTACCTGATAGGGTTTGCTGGCATGTCCATTTCGAAGTTCTCCCATTCTCCGAAATTATCGGCCTTATAGGGCAAATTTTGGCTTTCTTCACAAATGTTCATGCCAATATGCACACGGCAACCACTGCCATTCAAAATGGGATTCGAGTGCGTGGCGTATCCAAAAAGCCATCGCTTTCCACCCATGTTTCATCCCTTTTACACGAATAAGTTCTGCCCTGCTTCCGACTGCCATTTACTGTTTTTGGCCGCCGTTCGCCATTCCAAGGTCATTACAGTAGTTATGAGCAAAAAATTCGCCCCAGGAGGGATCGATCCCACATTTATCGCTTACTGGGCAAGTTTGGTACCAGTGGCACTGACAGGGCACCTCTCTACCTTAACTCAGCTTTTGACTTGGACTCGAAAATTCGGCCAGAAACAAAATAAGCCCGGCAATAAGGCATTAGCCAGGCCCACCTGCTCCATACAGAGCCTAGAAGACAGGCGGACAAGCGCCGAATCGCCCCTCATTCGGCTTGAAAGTGCGCGACAAAGGCGCTAGAAGCTCGCTCGACCCGCAATCCACTCCTTCGTCCGCAAGCCCCGCCTTCCGCTGTCGGTTGCCACGTGACGCTGCTTGAAAAGCGCGGGCGCAGTTGCGGCAGCGGTTGCATTGCGGTTCAATGTCATTGGCACTGGAGCAACTGGAGCTAGGTTCGTGAAACTCGTCCAACACGCCCCTTCTCTATCCCAAGGTGGAATGCGGCTGAAATAGAGGGGGTCCTCATTCGGGGCGTAATCGTGGTTTCTCCTTGCTTTCTTCTTCTTTTTTAGACCACTCCTCACCTCTAGTTTCATTAGTGAACGCTCCCTCACTTGTTCCATCCCGATTCTTGCCTTAATTGCTCCCTACCAGCGCTCGAACTCTCGGGAAGCATAAGAATGATTTCTGCAGAAGTACCTTCGGGAGGGTCGTGCTTGACGTTCAGGCAGCTTCCTTCTTTGCTGATGCTTCTTCTCTTTCCTTCAGAATACTTTATCTTTTCGTGGAGGTTCTGATGAAACACATTAGGAATTCGTTCCTTGTTCACGCATTTTTGAAGGCATTGAGTGCATTTACAGCTTCGGCTGCGAACATTTTTGGAATCATATCGATATCTGTTTTTCACAGTTGTGCAGCTTCCAGGTGGGGCTCCCAAGGTCCCATCTGTTCTTGCCAGTTCTCAAACTTTTCACGACCACCACTCCTCTTGGAGGACGCTTCCACGATAAGGTGAAAAAGGGGAAACTTACGTAGTGCAAAAACGGTCGGACCCCTTAGCGGTGCAGAGCGACACGCAATTCTCAGGGAAGGAATTAGTCTTTTAATCTAGGCCGGGGGGGGGGGGGGGGGGGGGGGGGGGGGGGGGGGGGGGGGGGGGGGGCGGGGGCGGGGGGGGGGGGGGGGGGGGGGGGGGGGGGGGGGGGGGGGGGGGGCGGCGCGCGCGGCGGGGCCCCGCACCGCGGCGCGGGCGCTGCGGACACCGCCGCCCCAGCTTGGCTCGCCCTTACCGCCAGCAGCTTGTTTAACAAGAAAGTGTTTAGCGATGACGAGGGTAGCATTCGATGAGTAGTCACGTCAATGTGGAAACCATTGGCAAAGGTAGTGGTCTCATCCCTTTAGGTTCTCTGCCGATTTTTTCATGTTTTTTTTTCATCCCGGCGTCACTGACCACCTCTACCTTATTTCTCATTGGGCTGCCTTTCATCGGTAAACTCCGCCTTTAAAGGAACTCACAACACTTACCACTTCCAGCGTTGTGGAGCATTTTTCTTACGATCCTTCCTGTTCTTACCGCCCATAAATGTTTCCATAGTTGGAACCAGTTGACATTACTAAAACTTTCAATTACGCCCAAAAGTGGAAACCTCTCCAAAACTTTTTCTTCGAAATGGCGCCGGCGATGGCGGAGCAGGAGGGAGCGAGATTAGGATATGTGAGGACATGGGAGGGGTAAACACCAGTAGACGACAAATGCTCTAATTTGCCCATTCGATATATTTTTCGTGGAAAATGTGAACTCCGAAACGATCGTATGGAACTCACCTATGCTGAAATTGGCAAATCTTTAGAGTGCTTCACGTGTGGCTCAAGCGCAAGCGAAGTCTTATGCAATACTCTCTGATTATAAGTGTGAGGTGAAAATGATAAAATATAATATCCCTTTATTTCAGTGCTCGACTACAAAAGCCATTTGGAACACCTAAGGTGAGTCACTAGCAATTTTTGTTGCCATTCGTTAATTAGAATTGATTTATTCATTAACGTTCCCGCTTTCTTGTCCAGCCCACCAGACAGGAATAATATCATGACACCGAAAAATAATCGCTATCATTTGGCTAGAAATGACCTCTCGGAAGCGATCCCCTGCCAGGTTGACCCATTTTTGTCAATCTCGTCTGTTTTTTCTTGCTTACCTACATATTTCTGTTCTGTAGTCTTTACTTGTTGCGTTCCCAATACCTAACCTCATTATTCTTTCTGTCTTACCTCTATTATTTACCAAAAACGATTGCAGGGCGCATACCCAAGGAGCTTATAAAATATGTCACATGGCCTTATTTGTCGCCAGCTCACTTTTAGAAAATTTTTGACTTATTTTCAAGCTATTTCTTCTTCTGTTCTATTCTGCAATTTTCTTTAACTGTTTCATATTTCATTCTTCGCTACCTTTATTTTTTTTCCTTTCTCACTTTTTTGGTTACGTATCTAGGTTGGTCTTTGACCTTGCAGAAAACACAAGTAAAGAAAGCTGAAAAATGAAATAAGATATGGAAATATGATAAAGAAGGTTAATCTTACGAGGTAATTCTCTACAAGGGAGGTCTTTCAGGGCAAGGTGCGCTTTTTCAAAACGGTTTTGTGCATATTGTAGGGACGCATGTAGGGAACGCAAAACCATGTTTCATTTTCGCTGAACGGTTATAGCAGTACCAAAAAAGAAGCATAAGGTACTGTTAAGGGTTCGATCCCCCGTGGCGACTAAATTTTGCATTTGGGTTGGCGCCTACGGTTTGGTGCCAAATCGCGCTAAATATCAAAATCAGATGTCAAATTCATCGTCAGGACCATTTTGAAGCCAACAAGTGGCCGCCAACCTTGATTGCAAAATTTAGTCGCCGCGGGGGATTGAACCATCAAGAGTATTATTCACCACTTTTTTGGTACTACTAAAACCGTTCAGCGAAAACGAAACATGGTTTTGTGGTCCATACATGCGTCCCTACAACATGTACTAAACCGTTTCCAAAAAGCGCACCTTGCCCTGAAAGACCTCCCTTGTTAGGGCCTTTGGTGGCTGTTTCCCTAAACGTTATTTTCTTCCTTTGATTTTATTCCATGATTTTTGTTCCTCTGACAGTTCTATTTTTTCGATTCATTCCTTCCTATGGACGGTCTTAACTTTGTCCTCCTTTTTCGAATCGAGTCCTTCCTGATTTCATATCTTATCTCGCTTTACGTTCTCTTTGTCTGGTCTATCTCATGACTGATGATTTGATAGCGATACTACTAAAGAATGCGGCGAACAGTACTGTTCCGTTTGGAGCGTGTTGATTCATCGGACGTGCTTCTGTAGTCTCATCATCAACATAGGAAAGCATCACCGACATCATCGACGATGCTTCGACACACCCCTTCGGGCAAGAGTTGAGTGTACCTCTCGATGCGTTTCCTCCCGGAGCAAGAACTCACTTACCGGCTCTCTACACGTATTTTACCTGCCAGTTACTCTCGCTCGAGAACAACTAGAAGTCCTTCCGAAAGAAGTTTCCATGAATCTTTAGATTGTTTGGTGAATAGGGTTTTTCAATGGTCTCATTCGTGAATAACTTGGACCCTCCCTTAGGACGCTATGGCAGAATGGCAACTTTTTGAGAATATTCCATTTGCAACAAAGCGGGCTGAGACCAAGGAGTCCTCGACGGGGAGCCCTATTCGGTACCTCGGGACCCGGAAGAGAGCTCGTATGGACGGAATTCGCGGCTTAATCGCACATATTCCGAAGGACTGATTAGTAGGGGTAGAAAATTAAGGCTTAGGAAGATACGTAACAGGTTAGTGAAGGACGATGTATGGAATTTTATGATAACTATACCAGCATTTTCGCGAATACCAGCGTATGTTCACTGCGCCCTTAATAAAGACTCGATAAATTTCTGATTGATCGTCAGCAGTCAGAGTTAGTTTTGGATAGGGTGGTGAAGGAGGACAGTATCTTAGCCTGTATTGCGGAGAGTAAGCCGTGACCCTTGATTGAGAGTGGTTGTAAAGTTTCTGGGGATCAAATTAATCAACGACCCGACTCACGGCTCATCCTGTGTGCATCCGTGAAATTAACAAAATTAGGGGAAGGGCAATACTGCTAAATAATTTTTCCGAGCAGTTTATTGTTGTGTCAGGGGCTAATAAATAGAATAAGTGCTCAAAAAAGCTGTGAGCTCGTAGATTTTCAGCCAAGCTGAGAGTAAGACTCCCATGCCTTAAACTGGCAGTTCTCGTGGTCTCCAAGCTTGAACGTTCTCTAACAACTGCAATTCATCGAGTTTGTGATAACGGGTCTTATCACGTGATAACACTACAGAAAAGCTTATACAGGAAAAAAAGGTCCTGGATGCTTGCCTATTTCAGAGTTGGCGCTGATCCGAAGGTACTCAGCGAAATTCAACAGTTTCATCGGCTGTTTCGAGCTGATAACCTTGAAGAAACGCCACTCCCATTAACTCCGACAAGTGAAGTCAACGAAGCGATGATGCCGGTCAGTTTATTCTCGCTTATATCTCGCGGCTTGATTTTAAGCTGAAGATTGGAAAGTTGTGGCAACGGAGCAGTGGCGAAATGCGCTGCTGCCACTTGCGAATGCAAGGATCGAATTCGCGCAGAACCAGACCAATTTCTTCATTCGCTTAAAGTCTCGGTGCTATCGCAAGATACGGGGCATTGTGTTGGCAATGCATTTGAAATCGCGTTAAACATGTTCCTTTTTGTTAAAAACGGGACTAAGCCTTGGGCGGGGAGGAGAGACTCCAGGGTGCGTCAGCCATTTTCATTCTCCCGGAATTCCTGCCCCTCCTAGGCTTGATCCTAGAGGATGTCCCCATATAATGCGATAGCGCCAAGCCACTTTTGATGCCATATCTCCTTCATATGGGAGAGGGGAGGGACCTAGTTTTGACGTCACCTGAAGCTTGAAACGTGTCAGGTTCTGTTTTGAAATTCCGAAATCTCTGCTCCCCCCCTCCCCCTTCCCGCTAACAATAGGAAAGGAACCTCCTTAGGAAAACGTGTAAAAAATGTGGAATGATGTGTTGGTACGATACTAGTAGGTTCTTGTGTTTGTCATTATCTGAATGTCCACTCAACACTGAAAGGAATATTCGGGCACTCGGTCTTCACATGCTGATATGAGCGTCGTCGGGATCGGGGAGGGAAGATGGGGCAGGAGAGGGGGAGGGAGAAAGAGAGAGAGGAGGAGAAGTAGAGATGGATTTGTTAAAGGGTGCTAACCATAGGTTCGTTCAGAAGAAGGTAGTTTAGTGTCAAATGGAATCCGCTGTGAACGAAAACTACTCGGCAGTCAATTCCCGGATCGAATTCCACTGGGCTTGTCAGGCCTTGCTTACTGGTGGACGGTAGGGGGGGGGGTGAGCGGTGGAGAAGGGCAGGGCGGTGGCATTTGAGTTTCTATTTGTGGGCCGACAAGACTTAGAAAGTATCAACTCGGAAATGGTTAAGTCTTCGAAAGCCAGCAAGTCGTTAATGAACGCATTAGGTCACTTATGCAATCAGCACGGTCGTTTCTGAATGAAAGATAAGCATGCATTGGCCTGTATCCAAAAGTGTCGGCGACTTGATATGCCGACGCCCTTATGATGTCAGTTCTGTCGCAGAATGCAGGATTTTATTTCGGCGAGCCTATCGGCACCTTTGCTGGCGGATCTAGAGGCGCTCATTACTTGACCGAAGCGTCTGTAAGCGCGGGATGTTGATAGTGGAAAAAGTCATTGAATCGCTTCGAGGATCAGAACACTGGTCAGTGAGTGGCCCTTATTGCTCCCCTATCACTAAAGCCATATTTAGCGTAGTTATTTCAGGACGAAGCTGAAGCAGCTGTACGGGTTTTACGGTTAGAAGCGCCACGAAAAGGTTTGTTCAAAGCAAATTTACCACACCAATTGTTTGTTGATAGGTTTCCAATTTCCAGCCAACGCATTTCAGCACTGTCTCCGCCGTCAACTTCCAAGGCATCCAGTCCAGTACCGCCTCCATCTCCCAAGGCTCCTCCACCTTCGTCCTCGTTCAAATTTCCCGAAGCTTCTAAATCGCTACCAGGCAAACCATTTTCACCTCCTCCACCCAGCGCCACCAGCCCCACCCTTTCCGCAGGCATACGCGATGCAGGAGCTCCCTTGTGGATGACCGCATCTGTGAAAACGTCCTCCAGTTAAAATCTTGTTTCACCTACCTAGAAAACGATTCTTCCCTATACTATTTCAAGGGCTCCGCCCGTACTTCCTCCGCCACCTACACTTGGCCTAACACCGCCGAAGCCGGTTCCTGAAGAGCTACCGGAATCAATGAAACCAAAGCGAGCGCCCAGCGGAACTTTGAAAATGAAGACTATAATGGTTAGATAAGAATTTAGACCACACTAGAATAATATAAGTAAATCCTGTGAACATAATATCTTGGGAAGCTGCGTCGACATCAAAAAGTCATCCGTTATTTGAAAGGAGAGTCTGGGAGTTTCTGAACGAATGAGTTCTTTTGACGAGACGTATGCGAGCTGGACGCAAAGGCGCACGAGCATGTACCGCTTGCACACGACTCGACAACAGCTGCACAAAACCAATATTGGGTGCTCGACTTAGGTGGGGGGGGGATGAACACGCGGCGGCGCGGCGCATGTGTTCGGTCTGCTCTCTAGGCTTAGTCAAGGGCGCAGTTACTATTCGTAGCACCTCGGCGTTTGAAATGATCATCGCGTGACTAGCCTCGGCAGGGCAGACGAACCAGACGCGCGCGCAGCGCCGTGGTCCCCCCAAGATGAGTTAGCACCCAATTATTCACATGTCCGCACCCGATGGACCCCGCCAAATCAATGCTAATTCCCTTCGCGCCACTTTGTTTGCATCTAGTCCGGTTTCTTCCGAGATTTTGCGCTCCACCTACCGGGACTTATTGCCAATGAGATTCGCGTAAGATCAAGCGCGAAACACCGCTCCATACCATCAGCGCGCGTGTGATTTCGAGGGACCACAACAATACTGTTATTGTATTGTTTTCTTTCATTAATCGTAGACCATCTACCATAACTACGTTTGTTTTCGAGTGCAGTATTGTTATCTATTCATCGCGGAAAACATGAGGCTTCGTTTCGTAAAGCCGTAGGTCAGGAGGCACCATGCGACTATCGCGCGCGACGTCGTGATGACGTCATCAGTGCGCCTTTTGTGGTGCTCATACCGCGCGCGCCGAAATAACTTATCACTACTAAGCGCGCTTGATAATCGTCCGACCAATCCATACCTGCCTGTAACCTCTGCCAGCAGAGGAATTAGGTCGAGGTTGACGAGAGTGAATGTACGCGCGGAGAGCACAGACGGCTCGCGCATGGCGAGAGTGAATGTCCGCGCGGGAGAGCGTAACTGAACAGGCGAAAATCCTCGACAAGTCGTCGACGAATCCTCGACCGTTTTCACCTTGACTGCCAGTGCACCGGTTAGCCGTCCTTAATTTTACAAATTGCAGTGGTCAAAAATCACTCCATCAGCAGTCGTCCATGGACAAGGATCCGAAAGTGTATGGGGAGAACTGGCCAGGCAAAGTACAAGTAGGTGTCTAAGCTATTCTCGAATTTTTCTTACTTCTATGAAAGCCTTATGTATTCCAGAGCTATGTCTGGACTTCGATATGATCGATGGAATGTTCGCAATCACCCCAGCCCAAACTTCACCAGCGCTAGTTGAGTCGACGCATTCACAGGTACGGTTTATAACATCACAGTTTTCGGACTAATTTTATAGGTAGCTACCCTTCGTCAGCCTCGCTCGGGAGTGTGTTTTCTAACGAACAAGGTTAGACGGGGTTAGTTGTTGGGCGGGGTTTGGTGAAATGGAACTTCTGTGTCTCGTTTGGGCAGCGCTATGATCGAAAAATCGGCAGCGATTACTTTCAAGTCTATACTGTGTTTCATTCTCGCTGAAATAGTATGACATTGCCACTCCTTGCTAGGTCCTCCCTGGGGTTGCCTGGTCGAACGCAGCGGATGCCAGCTGAACGCTGCGTATTAGCAAAATTCAATAGAAATGGTGGACATCGCCTCAGATTGGGGAGAACTCGCCGATGTAAGGGATAAACTATCAGATGTGCTTCGAAGGCTTGAGTCGCCATTATTTTCTTGAAGCACTCTCCGTGCGTGAAGTAAAGGGACCCCTGAACATGGGAGCTATAACAGTGTAAATTTTAAAGTGCGCAACAAGGACGCAACAAGGACCGCTGCGAGCGCTGCCATTTTTACTCGTACGCAACATACGCGGTGTCTGTGCCCTCACGTACGACGTGTTCCCGCGTATTCCCTCTGCTCGCCGCACTGTGTCTCTCTATCGTACCACGGTCGACATCATAAAAAGGAGGTCTATAGTTCCAATGTTTTCTGTGGTTCCTCTCGATTTTCCTCTCACTGTAGGTCGTATTCGCACCTTTTCCAAAAGGAATGACATACGAATTCGATCATCACCTGGGCGGTGTCCATAACATCCCCAACCAAGGTCAACCGTCGCGTTCGAGCATTTCCGAAGTTTTGCCCCCTTCTAGGAGGCCTTGACGCGACCCCATACCACCACCATCAGCCTCCTAAGGCTCCCTACATGCGACATCCCTCCCCTACTTTTTCCATGGTATTTGATTCTGAGACCAGTCGACACGCCACACCCATTTCTTCCTCCAAAACAGCCGTCAAGCGGGAGTGGGAGAGAGTTGAATGACTATCGGGGAAATTTCATCAATTTCGTCTAGTTTACCAACTCGTGAAGCGAAACCCGTCAAATTCCACCAAGTTCGATCTCCTTTTTACTGCCCGCGTTCACACTTGGCCCACTTTTCTCAGAGGTAGGCACCATTGCTTAACAATACGACCCCCTTTCCAAAATCAACCACAAATGCGACCCCCTCGTTCGAATATTGCGAACGGACGGA